ATTATCTACCCAAAATGAAATAAACTCCCAATGGACCTATGATGGTAATAAATGTGGTTAAGCCACCAGTTCATCCGACCCTCTTTTTGCCGAAGCGGAATCCCCCTTCACGCCAAGCTTTGCCGAAACACCAGCGCAGCAACTTTTTTTCCCTTTTGGCTGGCACCGCCAGCGATTTTGATCCGGCAGCACCGTTCATCCTAACTTTTCACATGACTCATTTTCGATTCTGAAGTTTGCCTGTGCGGTGTACTTGCCGTTTAACCCTATCAACATAACAAAAGCATCATGGTACACAAAGCCACTTTCAACGGGAAAAAAATGCTTTCCAGTTTTTGGACATCTTAGCTGTCAATTCCAGTATCTCTGTTTGAGCTTTCAAGTTTCAACCCTGATGGAAACAATCATGCTTCACCCAACGGTAAAAAATGCTTTCCAGTGTTTTCACATCTTAACTGTCAATTACAGTATCTCCGGACACTAACACTAGCATAGATATTGGGACTTGGACACAAACGCCATTACCTGTTAGTCAAAATTTACATGTGTGCACCATTCATCCATCCAGCCGGAAGAGAGCCATGCATGGGCAAGAAACACTAGCGTCTTCGCCCGAATGGAACGCCCTGTCAGTACTGCTGTATTCAGACTGAAAATTGCACCAAATACAGCAACAATGACCAGGCGTTATACTTGGGTGAAGATGGTAACCACAAAAAAAGCACATGTTGCCGATTCGCTCGCAGACAATCGAGGGGGCGGGCATACGGTACTTAACACATGCTCTATTAGAAATATAGTTTTCGTCCGTCTCCAGACTACCAACGAACTCTACATCATCCTGCCAGTTATGTTCCTTCTTTTCGAAAGGCGATGGCCTTGAGATATCATCTTTGAGCTGACCAGCCCCAGGTAAATTCAGAGTTGTTTTCACCATGGTAACCCCGGACCCGGACACCGGACACTTCCGGACTGCCTTCCAGACCAGTGTCTGGACCGATCCGGGCTGTCCGGTGATCCGGACATCACCGGACACTGGAGAGTCCGGACCGGTCCCCGGGGTGCAAAAATGTCCGGACAAAAAAAAAACAGAAAAAAACAGGGGTGGGGGGGAGGTTGGGTGGGTGTGTTGGCAGGCACTTACCTGCTTTGCACTCTGTAGTTCACGCAGCAGAGCACGTGTCTTGCTGCAAATCAACCAGCACATTTAACCGGCAGACATGCAGAGTTGCAAACAGTGCAAAGCAGGCACAAGACTAAAGAAACAGAGAATCTTTTTTTGAAAAAAGTATGTATAACTTTGAACTTTGAACTTTGGATTTAGTAACTTAAGTTCATAACTTCATATATAACTTAAAAGTTCGAACTGTGCAGTTAATTCAGAACGTCAGAGTTTTAAGTTCATAACTTCATATACAACTTAAAAGTTTGAACTTTACAGTTCAATTCAGAACGTCAGAGTCTTCAGACTGGCAGCACTGTCAGTGCTCTCTCTCTCTCTCTCTCTCTCTCTCTCTCTCTCTCTCTCTC